TTATCTATCTGTTTACTTGTCTTTGTTTCTCTTCCCCTGTTAGAATAGAAGTTCTTTGAGGGCCAAAGCCACATTTGTTTTGTTCTACAATTCCCTGGGGCTGAGCCTGGTGCCTGGTTCATTGAAGGAGTCCAGGATGTATTGAACTAACGGAATACCAGAAGCCTGGCTCTCTGCCAGGAGACAATTCTACCACACAGGTGGCTCAAATGAAGACTATATAGAAGGGAAACATTGCTTCCTTTCCCAAACTTTGCACTTCCCTATGGATTTTCAAAGTTGATTTGCTTAGGATCAGTGTACTTGGAAACCTAGTGAGGTATAAGAAGTAAGTCTGTTCTTTTGGTTCAAGACGGAGGAGAGAACATATTCACTTACCTCAATTTTCCTCTAAAAACCCAGGAGAAGTTAGTAAGGGAATGTGTTGGCAAGGCACAAGCCCATAAGCCAACAAGCTTTGGAGAGGAAATGATGTCGTAAGTGTAGAAGTTGGAATGCAGAGGTTGAGTGGTAACTGAGCTAGCAGACCCAAGAGAACTTAATCCTGATTTAATAGTGAGGAAAGCCGTAAAGATTCAGATATCCACGGTGCCAGGTGGGGCTGAAAACAGATATCTCAGGAAGTATAAGAAAGAGCTCTTAGAAATTAAAAACATAGCAGTGGAAATAGAAACTCATGAGCTGGAACATAAAGTTGAGGGCGTTTCACAAAAAAAGTAAAACAAAAGACAAAGAAATAGAAAACAGGAGAGAAAAGAGAAGGAAAATAGAGGCTTAGTCCAGGAGGTCCAATAACCTAATAAGAGCACTTCTAGAAAGAAAGACAAGACAAAACAGAAGGAAAAAAAAATCAACAAAATAACTTGAAGCATCTTTCTAGAACCAAAAGACATATGTTTCCACTGAATGCCCACTGAATGCCCAGAACAATGAATGAGAATAGACTCAAGACCATGTGGACACTGGGAACAAAGAAGAAGCTAGAAGCTTCTAGAGAGGGAAAAACAAAGGGTCTCATACAAAGGATAATGAACATTTCTTAACAACTAGAACTCAGTAGAGCAGCGTCTTCAATTCTGAAGGAAAAAGATTTCCAATTCAGAATGTTATACCCAGGTAAGCTGCCAGTTAAAGTCTAAACAATTTTATTTCATGTACCCTTTCATATGAAGCTACAGAAGTTTTTGTGTTAGGAAAACAAGGGAGTAAAGCAAGTCAAAGGAAGCCATGGGGGTCCAGGAACCAATGAAGAGGTGAAAGAATCACCATAATGATGGTGAAGAAGACCCCAGGAGCACAGCTGTGCCTTGGACCTAGAGAGCACTGTCTTTTTGGAGCAGGTCAGAAAGTTCCAAGGGAGATATTTTTAAAGAAATGAAGCTGTTAGAGACCTTAGACAATTGTGTAGGAGTCTGGGGGATGATTTTAGTAATAAGTCCATAGAAAACTAAGCAAAAGAAAAACAAAACTATTAACTCAAGAGAATACAATGTTGTGCAAGAAAGTCATCATAGTATACTACATGGCTCAGTAGTGAAAGATATGTTCCTAATCATAACAATGTAAACATCAGATATTTATCTAAGTGAAATTATGACACCATCTTTGGATAGCTCTTAAGAGGCTGGAGGGGAAGGAAGTGTGAGTATCTGTGACTAGTGACAGAGGTTGTGGACGAGGGGAGCTGGGGGAAGAGCTAAATCCTCCTCTCCCTTCATGGGAAGTTGTAGGCTACACTCCAAAGTGAAAAAACCAAGAAGTAGTACTGTAAGCATGTTATTAGAAGTGAACCAAAAAACCGAAACCAAACCCATTGCCATCGAGTTGATTCCAACTTACAGTGACCTTATAAGACAAAGTAGAACTACCCCACAGTGTTTCCAAGGTTGTAAATCTTTACAGACGCAGATTACCACATCTTTCTACCATGGAGCAGCTGGTGGGTTCAAACAGCTGACCTTTCAGTTAGCAGCCAAGCGCTTTAACCACTGTGCCACCAAGGCTCCTCTATTAGAAGTGAAGGAGGTAAACATTAAAGGAGTCCAAAGTGGTTGCCTCTGGGAAGTGAGAAAAGATGGGTGGTCAGAAAGGGATTGCTGTTTTTCTCAATAAGTAAAAAGGGTTGACTTTTCAAAACTCTGCATGTGTGACTTTAATCAAAATAAAAGCAAATTTAACAGTGGGGCTAGTGCTTCTTCTCTGGTGATACAGCCATTTGAGAGGGTTTTTCTAATCTTATCAAGTAATCCACCCTCTCTGCAGTTCTCTGGTCCTTGTGACCTGTAACCCAGGCCAATATTATACAGTGGAGGAGAGAGTAATGGTGAGGGAAGGGCGGCTGAGAGAGACACTGTTTTGTGAATGTTGTCAAGGCCGGTTCTCAGCC